AGAAAACTTTGGATTTCAACGGTCACTATTAACAACCGTAGAGGGTGGCCGACATGGAAAATTGTGGTGACCAACCGTGGCAACTAAGGAAAAAGGAAAGAATAAACTACATAGTTAATCACTTAACTATCTTCTTACTCCTATTTTAGTTACTATAATTTAAAAAAATTCAATTTAATCACTCAATTTTTGAATTGATCTACATTGCTCACTCTAGAATGACATGGTATATTTTATTAATATTTTCTTATGACATGGTATATTTTATGAATATTTAATGTGTTTGCACATTTGAAGTATTGGAAACGTGGAGAGGTTTCAGTTGCCATCATGAAACATTTCCTTACAGGTTTTGAAGCATGTTAATGAATATGACAGGTTTGTTTCATTGTAGACTTGGTTTTATGTATATCATCAATCCTCGAAAGCTACAAGATCCACCATCAATGTCGAACTGTATGTCTGAAGTCGCAGGCTGCGCATACATGAATGGTGAATTTCAACATTTATGGACATGAACGTGATAAGTTGTTTGACCTGTAACTCGATACTCAGAGATTAGATCTTCCAAAACTATTTAAAAGCACATGGACATGAATAAAACGAGAAGATAAATTATCTAGCAAGTCAATGATATAAAGAAAAACAAAAGCAAACAATATAAAAAAATTGAAGCTCAAAATCGCTGTTAACTCGTCAAGATATCAGAGCAAGTGAAAGACCCTACCTTCTCTAAGCATATATCATCACAGGTCCTCATATGCACCAGCTGGGAATCAAACCCGGGAATATACTGTGACAGGGTACTATTCTACCACTAGATCATTGTGCTTTTGCTTTTCCTTATTTGTAGAGCTTGTCTTGTTTCCGCAAGTACTTGAAATGCAAAAAATAATAAAAATATTACAGATAACTTTATGTCACATATTTCTATATCAATTTATCGTTTTTAAAAATAGTAATAATAATATCAATTTATCTCTCAACGTATTCTAATCCAATAAACAATTTATAGCATGAAAAGAAAATGATGTTATCCAAAATAGAGGGAAATGTTTGGAGTAGCGAAAGGAAAAGTAGTGCTTGCATATGCATGTATTAAAGTTTTGAACTCTACAATCTAGAATGTTTTGTTCGAATCCTTTATCAAACAAGTGAGTTGCCTTTTTAACTTGCCAAACAAATGCCTGACCAGGTAAATTTCCATCAGGACCATCACTCACTAATAGTTGGCTTAATAATACCCTTTCATTTCATCACCACATTCACGTAGAAAAAAGTAGCCTTTTGTCCCTTTTATATGAATCTTCAACTCTAATTGCAGCTACTATTCTATCAATCATAAAACTTGACCAGTGAATTAATACAACTTTTTAGTCTTACTTGAAATTTATTCAGAAAATTCATTCTAAGAAGAAAGGAAGAGCCAACTAACATCGCTCTAAAACTTCTTGCACGAAAATAGAAAAACAAAGGAGCTCATAAATACTAATACTCTTCAAGAAATCAGAGCATGTGAAGGACCCTACCTTCACTAGGTAAGTATCATCATGGCTCTACATCTGCACCAGTCGGGAATTGAACTTGGGTCTGCACCACTAGTGCTTTTGTTCCTATTGATATGAAGGGCTGCTCTTGGTTCTGAAAGTATTCGAAATGCAAAAATAATAATATATATATATATATATATATATATATATATATATATTTACTTCCCTGTTGACACTTGAAATATTACAGACTGCTTTATATTGCATACTTTAATATCTAACGTAAAAAGATGTAGAAATCAAATCAATTCAGTATCTAAAAATCTGAGTTTAAACCAGTGTGAATCTAGAGATTTAAGATCGAGGGTCCAAGATTTTAATTTTTGTTTTCTAAAAATAATGAGAATGCAAATTTTTTATTTATCCTTTTTCATTAACAAATCAAACTAAATTTAATCATTTTTGTAAAGTAATAGAATGTACTTGATCTCTACGGGAACTTAATGTATCCGCCTTTGGTTTAAACACTATGTATACAAAGTATAAATATTAATTGTCAAATATTCTCAATATTTGAATTGAATATCTAAATAGAATAAAAATAATAATTTAACCATTATTGAGACTAACTAAATGAATGATATTGAGAGGGATCAAGATCAAAACCTGAGTATAGTCAATGTTTAAATATTAAGTAAATCTATGTAATAATTACATTGTTAACAAAAAAAAATATTTAGGTTAAACACTTATTGAAACTAATTATTAAAAAAAATAAAAATCAACTGAAGAATATTAAACTTGAGATTTGGCATAACATATCACTTAATTGTTAGGTCAAACAATAAAATTATTATATAGTAGGAAAAACAATATTTAGATTAAATTTTGATTTAAAATAATTATATATTTAAATAAATTATAAAAATGTTTTATTAAATAATAAATAAAAAAGTGTTAAAAATAAAATTCTCATATTTTAGATTAGATGCACATTTAAAAAAAATCTTGAATAATTATAATAGATATAATATCAAGTAAATTATTGCAAAAAAAGGAAAAAAAATGATAAAAACACATACTTATATGAAATAAGAATCTAAACAAAACAAATATTTACTACATGCATGGAGTCAGTCTGAACAAGATAAATATTTGTTTTTCGGTTAATGTGGATATTCATTCACAAGAGGATATCAACAGTGGATTCCAGTTCATGAGAGTCGAGGAGCTTGGTAAGTATCTTGGGTCCTTTACTTCACAATAGAGCCACTAGAGCTACATATCAATATATCATCCAGAGAATGCGAGATAGATTAGCTGGTTGGAAAGCTAAAACCCTTTCATTTGTGGGTAGGATAACTTTGGCAAAATCAATTTTGGCTGCACTCCCTTCGTGTGCAATTAATGTAGTCTTGTTATTTACCTAAGAAGGAGTGTGAGGATATGAAGGTTTTGATCCGGAACTTTATTTGGGGTAGTTCGGAAGATACCAAGAAGGTTCATCTAGTGTGGTGGTCTGAAGTTTGTCAACCGACTCACATGGGTGAACTGGGGTTTAAAAAATTGCATACACAGAATGAAGCTTTCTTAATGAAAATAGGGTTTCGAATGGTGGATCAAACGAACCGGTTATGGGCTCGTGTTTTGCGCTCTAAGTACAAGGTACGAGATTTAATATCGGAGAACTGGATGGTCTCATCTTTGGTAGGAATCCGTGTTATCTGGAGCGATTTACGTTATGGCTTGGTGTGGAATGTTGGTGGTGGGTCTCGGGTGAAGTTTTGGAACGATCCATGGATTGGGAATTTGGGGTGAGCAACGAAATCGAAAAATTGATACGAACTGAGTAAAATGGTTCGGTTTTCGATTTGATTTAAATGTTTCATTTTTTTGATTCGGTTCGGGTTTTTCATATGAAACCCATTTGTTTCATATTGAATTGAATAGACAATTTTTATAAAAGAAATTATAGTTTTAAGTGATTTTTTCATTTAAAAACCGATAAACTAAATCGAACCGAAAAATTCGAACCATTAAAAAAATCAAACTGAACCGAAAAAATCAATTTCAATTTTTTCAGTTTTTTAACTATTCAGTTTCGATTTAAATATTAAAAATCTGTTTATTTCAATTCGATTCAAATTTTAATAAAAAATCAAACTAAATTGAACCGAACACACCCTACCTTTAAGTGACCATCATATCGGTGCATTTGATTGCATGCAAGCTCACACGACAGTACGAGATATGACCACACACGATGGGCAGTGGAATTGGGTGGTTTTGCATCACTCTCTCCATGCTACGGTCCTACTCTACTTTATAGCCATTAAACCGCCTGTGGTTAATGGAGTTGCTGATACGGTCGGCGGCGATGGGACGTCATGGGCAGATTTTTAACAAAGTCTGTTTATGTACAACGTTCGGGTGGTTTGGCAGTGGTAACGAATCAGGTTGGAAAACAATTTTCGAGTTCAGGGGTTTACCAAGGATCAAAGCATTTTTGTGGTTGCTTTATCATGGGAGAACTTTGTCTAGCGATGAACCAGCCCGACGTCACATGACGAATGATGCAAACTGCGACGTCTGTGGAAGTGCTTTTGAGTCTGTCTCTCACATTCTCCCCCATTTTCCGATAGCTAAAGGAGTTTGGGATGGGCTCATCAAGCCTCAGCGTAAGCGTGAATTTCTAAACATGGATTTCCAGGATTGGCTTTTGAAGAATCTCAGACAACCGTCCTGTTTTCCGTCCATTGTTGATGACTGGGAGCTATTGTTTGGTGCCATATTCTATGGTGCTTGTGGAAACGAAGGAATCTATTTATTTTTGCACCTGGATTACAGCCGATGGAAAGCGTAGTGGTTTGTAGTCGGCGGTTACAGACACAAGCAAGGGAGGCACTGACATCTCGGTCGATAGCAGGATTTAGCGGGCCAACCAAACTAGTGGATCGAGCTGTGTGTGTGGGGGGGGGGGGTTGGAAAGCGCCTGCAAGTGACTGGTTTAAATTAAATACAGATGGTGCTTGCAGGTCGGTTTTGAGCTTAGCTGCATGCGGTGGAGTCATTCGTGACCATGAAGGGGCCTGACTAGTGGGGTTCACAAAAGCCATTGGAAGATACTCAGTTTGAGAGGCGGAACTATGGGGTATATTCGAAGGGATGCACCTGGCTTGGGACATGGGGCTACGGTGAATAATGGTAGAAACGGATTGCAAGGAAGTCATTTCAGCTCTGCAGTCCGACACTTGGCGAGGAGTGGGGTCCTCTATGGTTCATCATATTAAAGAGCTTGTGACTCGCAACTGGGAAGTTCGTTTTAATTTTGCTCCAAGAGAACAAAATCGTGTAGCAGATTGCATGAAGAAGTTGGCGTGGAAGTGACCATTTGAAACCCAAATCCATCATGCTCCGCCCTTAGAGGTGGGACGTGTTTTTTTTTTTTTTTTTTGAATAAGTCAAAATTTTATTATCCAAATAGTAAAAAGCTACAAATACAATCAGAATTCAATACAAAACATTTACAATACAATAATCGGTGGTCATCAATACCCCAATGTTTGTAGAAGGTAAATTCACATCATCTACTCTATTGAATTTCCTGTCGTTAAGTTGAAGACAAACAATAGATTTGATATTCTTTAGAAGTTCATTAACAGGTCTAGTTCGGCCTTGGTACAGTCTTCTGTTCCTTTCTTCCCAGAGCAAGTAAATCAATGCATTCAAAGCAATCTTCATTACAGTAGATAACAATGATTTTCCTTTCCAATTTGAGCTCGCCATTTCCAAGAATTCTTCCCAAAGGTAGCCTGTAAAATGCAAACCAGAAAAAGAGAAGATGCGTTCCCATAGAGAAACAGCAGTAGGACATAATAAGAAAAGGTGATCCCTAGTTTCCACTTCAGAGTTACATAAGAGACAAGAGCAGTCATTAGTAAGACCGATTCGGTGGAGACGATCCTTAGTGGGTAGTCTGTCAAGTAGAGCCATCCAGATTATCATACTATATTTTGGAATGTGCAGGAAAAACCAAAGGAGTTTATGCCAAGGGACCTTCTGATTTTTCGTCCGAATAGAGTCCTATATCGAGCTTGCATTGATAGGACCAGGATGAAGGAAATTTTACACCTATGGTCTCAATTTAAGAAGTCTTCTAAGACACCAGTTTGTGTTGAGTTTAGCTTCAATTGACTAGAAATAATAAGTTTATTTTCTTTCCATTCAAAAAATAATAAAAATCTAAACAAAAAATCATTGACAAAAGAAAGGAATTTTATTATAGTTAACGATAGATTATATAAAAACACGTCAAACCTTATAATCCTAATATATATATATATATATATATATATATATATATATATAATTGTATTGATACAATAACATTAATTAAATAAAAGTGTATGACTGAAGAGCCTTTACATCCATTATAAATCTTTTTTTTCATCCTAATTTATCTATTTACGAAATGTTTGTATGAAAAAAATTTAAATTACAAATTTTAACAATGTGATAAAATATTGAGAATAGGATGAATCGAAGAAATATATTAAAAAAAACAAAGATAGAAAGATTTACTAAATCTTTGTTCAAATAGCTGATTTGCCCGAGTTGGATAAAAGGGCAGACTTAAGTTCTGATGCACTCAAGTGCGTGTGAGTTCGAGCCTCACAGTCAGCATTTTAGGATAAGTCAATATCATCGATTTATCATAATTAAACAATCTAAATGGATTCAAGTTTCGATTTCTCTGGATTTTTTCCATACCTAAAATTATCAACAACATTTTGGGTTGGTCAATTAATAAAAGTTTAAATAAACATCTGGTCGTAAAATTAAAAATATTGTTTGTTTTCTATCATTAAATTATAATAATATTTTTATTTTAATATTAAAAATTAAAAATATATTTATGTTAGTCATTGGATCGTTTTTCTTTAACAACATGGTGTTGTGATAGTTTTTTTATTGATAATATGTAATAACGTAAAAGTTGGAAAAATATATTTTTACTTCGTTCTATCAACAATTTTTATAGCAATTGATTAAAAATTTTCATTATTTATTAGATTATAGGTTCATTATTTATTAAGAACAAAATTTCCTTCTTTTTTTTGGTGTGTGAAAAGAGGTATTATCCTGTGCTTCATTAAAAAACCCATAATACTAGTAAGAGGAAAAGAGAACACAAGATAATAGAATACATCAGAGAAACAAATCAAAGTTTACAAGAAAAGAACGAGGCAACTTGAGGATCAAAGGAGCCAAACCCATACACAACTATTATCTTCTCGTAAGATTTCCAGAACAAGGTCTGATGGATAAGATAGCAAATGGATTTCCATTGTATCAGTTGCAACATTTTTAACCAAAGAGTCAGCCACACGGTTCCCTTGTCAACGGATGTGCTGAACCCAAACCTCCCACTGACGGTCAATCATAGTATAGATATGAGCTAATATAGTAATAAGACCACCCATAAGCTTTCTATCTCGCAGCAAAGGAATAACGTTAGAGTTATCAGACTCCACGATGACTCTTTGCTTACCCATATTCCACGCGCATTGGAGGCCGACATAGATTCCCCAGAGCTCGGCTTCAAGCACCGAGCAGGTACCAAGATATTTTTTAAATCCCATCTCACATCTTCCGTTTTGATTTCGAATCACTCCCTCACAGCACGCAGTGTCATTGCTTGTATTTCGAGCGCCATCCGTATTCACCTTGACCCAGCTTTGCGGAGGTGGTAACCAATGCGCATCACCAATATGTCTACTGGTTTGTCTTATCCTAATGCATTTATCCTGCTCGATGGCTTTGCAAGTTCTCATTTGCAATCTCCTGCTCCTTTCCAACGTTCCACCTTGATCCTCTAAAGGGTTATCAAAAGCAATCGAATTTCTATAACACCATATATTCCAAAGAATCGCGCCAAAGAGGATATCACAGTCCTTACTTTCCTTCACAAAATAATTCATCTTGGTCAAATTAATATTAATCCAATCTCTGATCACAATCGACAGGAATTCATCAAGCTTACTCCCCTTAATTAAGAGACACCATGTAGGAATAACCATCGGGCACTTACGAAACACATGGTCAACATCTTCCGAGATCGCACCACATAAGGGACAACTGTTGTTATCGGTAAAATGCCTTTTAGCACGTTCTGCATACGTCATGAGTTTACCCCAACAAAGAAGCCAGATCAAAACCTTCACCTGTTGCAGCCCCTTATACTTCTGAATAGTAAGTAGTCCAGGTTGAGTCTTTAACATCATCATTATGGTTTATACAACTCTCATAAGTTGTTTTGATAGAAAAACTGAGGTCAACACTCCTTTTCCAACCAAAGGAGTCATCAATCTGATCGCATATCGGCTCTTTAACAGCAGCGAGATGCAGCAGAACCTGCATAGAGAGGATTTGTTCGAACATCGCCAATCTCCAATTCTCATCGGAGTCTGCCATACTAGCAACAGAAGCGTCTAAATCAGTTATATTAGCACCGTTGGGCACAAAGTTGATCAGGGGTATTAAATCCTTGATCCAATCATCTTTCCAAAAAGCAACATTACGGTCCTGACCAACAATACGGGCGATATTGCTATACACATCCTGCCAAATAATACTCATACCCTTCCATTGTCTCGAACAATTATGATTTCCGATATGCGTCGGAACCTCTTCATACCATTTGTATTTCGATCTCAAAAACCAAACCCATAACGCATCTTTCCGGACGATGAGATTGAAGGCTATTTCATAATGAAAGCCTTATTTTGAATATTAAATTTTCGAAATCCAAGGCCTACATTGACAACCGGCTTGCAAACATTCTCTCATCTCACAAGTGAAACACTGCTTCGCTTTGAATCCTTGCCCCAAATAAAAGATCTAATCATCCGTTCAGCTCCAAATAAATCTTTTTGGGGAGGATTGTCGATTGCATATTATACGTAGGAATGGCCGCAACAATTGCTTTAGGAAGTGTAATACGTCCAGCAAGGGATAATGTTTTTGCCTTCTACCCACTCAACTTATTCTGGACCATTTGAACAAGATAACTATAAGAAGCAATGGTAACACAGGAATGCAAAAGAGGCACACCCAGGTACTTGCCAAGATTATCGACCCAGGTAAAGTCAAAAGCTCGACTAATGTGAATTTGAACCGTCATGGGAACATTTTTTTTGAAAAGAAGATCGTTATCTTCCCCATACTTTGTGACCAGAGACGCTACAAAAACGATCAAGAACTCTCTGAATAAAAATTATTTGTTCAATAGAAGCCTACGCAAACAATATCATATCATCCGCAAAAAACAAGTGAGACATACTTGGACTATTTCTAGTCATTTGAATCCAATTATCATTATCAACTTCAACTTGGATAGCTTGGGCAAGTCTCTCCATGCATAAAACAAAGATATAAGGTGACAACGAATTTCCTTGTCTAATACCTCTCGAAGTAGAGAACGCCTCAGTTATAGAGTTGTTCCAAAGAATACGAGTAGAGGCAGACGAAATACATTATAACATAAGATTTCTCAGACTATCAGGGATGTCAATGTCTTGTAAAGTATCCTCAATGAACCTCCAGTCCAGTCTGTCATAAGTTTTTTCAAGGTCAATATTGATCACCATCCACCCTCATTTTTATGTCTTCTTTCTCATAGAATAGAGAACATCCTGAGTGATGATAATATTGTCTGTGATACATTGACCAGGGACAAAGCAAGTTTGATAATCAGAGACCCAGTTGGTTAACAACGACTTTAAGCGATTCACAATGATTTCCGTTACTATTTAATACAACACCGTATAGAGGCTAATTGGGCGAAACTGATGCATCCCCGTAGGAGCCGTAACTTTTGGTAAAAGTACCAAGAGGGTACGATTTTTATGAGTTGGAATGTTGCCTCCATAAAAATCCTCCTAATAAAATAACAAACCGAGTCATCAACGACATTCCAATTCTTTTGATAGAACATAACATGAAGCCCATCAACACCTGGCGCTTTAGTAGCTCCCATATCAAAGATTGCGGTTTGGATTTCCTCATTAGTAATCTCCCTGGTGAGACTGTTTTGATCACAATAATTCATCCGATTAAAATGCCCTCAGATTTCATAAACATCATTACAATTGTCCGACCTTGAAAAAAGAATGTAAATGTCATATGCATAAGTTCCTCTGGGTCGGTTACCCACGACCCGTTATTACTTATCAAAGCGAAGATTTTATTCCGAAGTTGGTGAACAAGGGTACAAGCGTGAAAGAAAGCAGTGTTTCGACGCCCTACAAAATCCATTGAGAACATGCTTTTTGACTCTAAAGACCCTCTTCTTGCTCTAAAAGCAACTCAAGCTCCTCTCTCAAGTGATTACTAATCCTTAGGTGAGACTCAGAATGAGATTGGGTGAACGCCCTATCAATGCCCCTTAACCGAGCAATAAGATGTTTTTTCTTCATTCTCATGTGGCCAAAGACATTGAAATTCCAAGTTAATGCATTAGTTTTAAAGGATTCAATATTCACATCAATGTCAACCTCATACATCCAAATTGAGCAAAGAAAATTTTGAAATTCTAGGTGGTCCTGCCAAGCAGCTAGAAACTGAAAAGGCGGATTTTGACAAACATTATTATCCTGTTTAATCTTGAGAAGAATAGTTCTATGATCTGACCCCATACGATTCAAATAGATCACCCTGGCATAAATAAAATCTTTAATCCAAGCATTATTAACTAATAACGATCCAGTCTCTAATGAAAATTCCCCCGAGACCAAGTAAAAGTCGGGCCCAAATAATCTAAGTCAATCAAACCCGTAGAGTGAATGAAGTTAGCCAAAGGAAAACTCCCATGTACCACACCAGGAGTACCCTCGTTCTCTAATTGGAGTTTAAAATTACATTAAGATCTCCATCAAGCATCCAAGGAACATCATCCCCTGGGTTTAAACATTCCAATTGATTCGATAAATAAA